TGTAATCAAACAAAGAAAAACAGGTGGAATATTGAAGATTTTTTATTGTTCTTTCAAGTTCAAATTTATTTTGCATAAGCAAGGACATCACAAAAGAAAGTAAACGTTTAGTAACTTATAACATCCGATAAACAGAAGCCTTAGTGATACCTGTATAACTAAAAACAAACAAAATAAGAGAGCATTCCCCAATGAACAAAGAGAAGATAAAATAAATACAAATAGAGTTGTTTAAGTCAAACCCGATTCCCGTCGAAGCATCTCCTTAAAAACTTTGTGACTATTCTGAAGTGCCGAGGGTGAAGAAAGATTGTTCCATTCTTTAGATGTTTTTAGTAGAAAAGAACTACGAGTGGTTTTAAACTTAAAGTTTGGAATTACCATCCATCTGTTATGTCCTCGGCGTAAAGTCTGACGAGTGGTAAGAGGTGAGATAAGCTTGTGAGAAGAAATAGGACTTCTACCGTGATAGATTTTATGAAAGTAAGTGAGTCTGTAATATTGACGACGCACTGATAAAGATAATAGTTTCAGTTTTTTGAGAAGAAAGTCTAGAGAACTTAAATAGTCTTAGAGAATAATACGAGTAGCTAAACGTTGAACCTTGTCTAACACTTTCAGATGAGAAATGAAATCAGAATCAAATAATACACAAGCTCAGGACACATTCAAGGTCCGGACGCACACACGTTTTATACAAATGAAGACGCAGAGAATACAGAGAATCGCGAAAAACTCGAGAAATAGAACCTAACATTTTGCGGCAAGTTCTAGCGGTGGAATTCAGATGTGTTTTCCATGTTAAGTTGTAGGAAAGAAGGACGCCTAATAATTTTAATGAAAAGACGCGTTGAATCGGTGTATTTTTGATTGATAAAGAAACAGAAGACAGAGTATTTTTAGTGGAAGAAAACAAAACTCATTGCCATTTGTCAATGTTAAAATTAACGTGATTATCTTCACACCATTGAAGTACTTCATTTACACACTTTTGTGCTGAAAAAACTGATGTTAAACAAACACCACCAAAACTGAGAAGATGAACCAGGGCAAAACATAACACAAGTTATTGTGTACTTGCAGTTTGTTTTATCACTACAAAATCTACCAAAAAGTTCTTTTGTCTTTGTTTTTCTTTGTTAAAACAAATTTTGAGAAAGCTCAATAAATGTGTAACAGAGTATGCATGTATGTTGTCTTCCTCTACAGACTATTCTCATTCTTTTTTCTTTGTTGTTTAGGATTATTAGATGTATTTACCTATCACTTTTTTGTGCCAAAGTTTATTTCTAATCAAATTCAGACGTAAAAGTTTTCACTTGATTTCAGATGTTTACTAATACCATCGTTTCCACTGCCATCGTTACTATTCCATCTTTATCTGTCATAGCATTTCAACAAATCTTTCAATCAATACTAAAAATAATGTTGGTAAGTATTTTTTTGAGTTTGATTATAAATATTGACTTATCCTCCGACGTCGGCTAGTAGCTATAGGGTTGTTAATTCTTACCTTCCAGCTCTGTCTGGCATTATGAAACTCGTCCGTCTATTATTTTCTAGTCGGCGCAGTGTAATCCATCTTTTTTTGTTGTTCTATGAGTTCAGATATGGAATCCATTATGGCAATAAATGTCGATTGTATGGTCTAATATCATTAAGCTCATTTTTTGGTAAAAACAAACAGACTGTATTTTTGTTTTTATTGTTGTTCGATGAAATGCGGAATTTGTTTTTGTTGAATATGTTGTGAATTTTTAATATATATTTTGTAAATAAAATTCTTTTCACACTAATTTCTATGAGAATTTGCGACGTTTATTTCGTTCTGATCGATGTTTTCAGTATTCGTTTACAACTATTTTAGAAGAAAAATTTCAATATCAAGAATGTGATTATATCTTTTCGAATAATTAAGTTTAAATTCCTTTATTTCGTTCCGTCTTTTACCCCTACAATAATAGAATGTTTAATTTATCGAGTCTCATATATTTGTTAGTGTTGTTTATTAGTTCTTCGGAATAATTATTTATATTATTGCAATTATTATGATTGTAATAACAGAAAATTCTACATTTATCCTATAACTGACAAAATATACGACTGAATGAATACATATCCTCGTTGAAAGCACGTAGACAAATACACGAAAAGAGAAGATAATCTCTTCATTTTCTTAAGTATTCACACTATATATAACTATAACCAATTTATTAACTATACCCAGAAGCATCTTATGAATTATTGTCTATACTAAGTTCAAAACTTCTGTTTTAAAGTCTAAATCATGTGTTGATCCAGGTTCAGATTGGATACAGTCTGTTGACATTGTAACTTGTGCACAGCTCAACTGCTCTCTAGATTTTTTTTCTACTTTGTCACTTATTTTTGCAAATGTGCACGACGTGATCTAAGTACTGAGTAACTAAGTAGAAAACTTCGGAAAACAGAGGGATACTCTCTGGATATTGCAGATTGACAACTGCATGTTCGATTTTCAAACGTAAGTCCAGTTTGGCGTCATGAGCTAGAAAAGTGATAAAACCTTCTCTGGACGTTTTCAATTAGTTAAGTACACTAGAAATGTGATAGAAAATCGATAACTCAAAATCTGTAACCTGAAAATTATTATTCTTATGTAAACGAACACAGAACTTCTAAGTAATATATACCGTTAGTTCTGATCATTTATTATATTTATGAAATAACTGATGAATTGAGTTGTTTTATAACATCGTAGTGCAAGTACTAAACCATTAGTACTAACTTCAGAACCTATCGTTGTTAATGCAACGAATACTAACAGAAAATCGTTAGATTTTACTAAGGTGCCGATAATTCAAAATTACAGCAAGATGTTTTTTTCACTTTTTCGGCATGGTTGGATAGAGTTCATCGAGTTACATTCGAGAAATAAATCCCACATTTTAAGAAGTCATTTTTTGGTGAAAAGATTTAAAAATACCCATTTTATGACAATAAGCAAAAAACCGTGAAATTTTTTTTATTTATTGTTTTTCTAAAATTCTAAATCCACTTATTTCTGATTCTCCATCGAAAACTGAGTATAAAAAGCTGAATTCCAAAATTCTAAAGTTGAAACTGACCAACAAATCCACAGAACAGAAGAAGAATAGTAAAAACCCTGCTGACAAATTTGCAAACGTATCTACTAAAAAAAACAGAATTATATATTTCATATAATGTCAGATTAAAATATATTTAATAAAAAAAAAAAAGAATGAGAATACTTTGTAGAGGAAGACGACATATATGTATACTCTGTTACACATCTGTTGAGCTTTCCTCAAAATTAGTTTTAATGAAGAAAAACAAAAACAAAAAAAGGTTGTACAGTTGACAGTTGATTATCAGTCAAAGAATGTTAAATTTTTATACATATGCTATAACTCTTGCTGGTGCTTCACTACAGTTTTTGATTGGTATTGGTAAAACGAAGACAGTTGCACCGATGTCCGGTAATGTATTGTTAGTTTCTGTACCAATATTGATATTCTCTACCAAATATTTATCTGCTTTTAAAAATACCCTATGCGCATCAAAATTAATATTATTACCAGCATCAATACTGACTGCATCAATACCCAAACCGCGTACACCTTTGTCAAGTAAATATTGTGCAGATTCTTCTCCCCATCCAGGAAAATGGCGTATCTTATTTTCATCGAAACCTAAAAATTTTACCGGATCATTCCAATATTTACTCCAACCAGTATTAGCAATAACGAATGAACCACTCTGTATACTTCCATGCACTTTTTCCCAATTAATAATATCTTGCTGTGTGATTTGATAATCTTTATTACGTTCGGTTTGTTGGCTAACATTAATTACAACTGCTGGTGATATTAATTCTGCAACTGGATACTCATGTACCTAATTCGAGAACGAGATTAACCAATAAAAATGAAGTGGAAGGATATTACCGTACGTACCCATCGTTTTCCATCGAAAAAATGTGCAGCACTATCAAAATGAGTACCTAAGCCGGCTTTCTTAAAGTTCAATTGATGTATACTATAACCATGAACATCAAGAAAATGTGTTTGTTCTTGAGTAAAACCAATACCTTCGTCCCATGTTGGCATATCTTCAGTAATTATATGTGTTAGGTCCATAACACGGGACGATGATAATAGTGACATTGAAAATTCGTTCATATAATTTAAATTCAATTAACTGTATTAATAATCTTCGTACTTTTTAATAAGATGATAAATGCAGTAGATGACCTATGAATATGAATAATGACAGATACATTATCGACCAGCAAATAAAAACAAGAAGTTTTGAGAAAACTGACACCATCTCATTATCCATGTGCAAATATTAGAGACTTTTACATCTAATTTGTTTTAGTGAAGCTTACACACAAAAATTGCTTTTTTACGACTTCTAACGGGTAATTATACGTTATAGTTATATAGATTTTTTTCAACAACTATGTAAAAAGCTGTATGCGTAAAAACTATTTTAACCGTTGCGTTTTTCTCTACTTGTATCGGTGTCTGTCTGTTGTACAGATGAGACGAAATCATTCTCTTATTTTTTTTCGTTTTCTCTAAATTGTGACTATTAGAGCCATAACAAATAGGTGATGTTAAATATTGGCTACTTATGTGTTACGGCTCTATTCATTATACATTTATTTTGTCTTTCGTCGATTGCATATCTTTGTTTTGAAACGACGTCGGGAAAAGCAAAAAATGATTTTGATGCACGCTTTGCTATTTTTTGTGCACTGATAGAGTGGTTGTTTTGAACAGAAAGACTCAATGAGTAGTAATTTTATTATCTTGTCCTTATTCTTCAACTTTTTCCAAAACTTTTTTCACCACTGTATAGCTGATAGCATCAGGAATCGAATAAAAGAAATGATGTTTAGTTTATCGTTCAAAACGAGGTAGTTCTTGCCCATAAAATACACTGCTTCATTTCTGTTGTTATTAAGGCCCCCACCCCCTCAGAAATTATCTCCTACACCGTGCATCCGATCTTGACGAAACTTTCCATAAATGTTCGCCACAATAAGTCACTGGAATGAAAAAAATTTTTTGTCTCCAAGTCTTACGGTTTAGGAGTTTTCCAGAGATCAAGGTCCAAAAAGGACCCTGAACGGCGTCCCAAGATTTTTTAATATACTTCAAGCTGGAGAGTTCGG